TTCATAGTGCATGTATACGTTATCTTGTCGTAGATTGAGAGGTTTCTAGTCATCCAAGCGGCCACAGACTGGTGTGCTTGGCGTCCGTGATCTCATGTCAGGACGTGAATACTGTGTCAGGAAATCAACAGATATTTGATGGAATAAAGACTCAATTTTCTCTGCCAACATAGGAATGAATTGGGACTCAAAGCCCACATTTTCACATTCATATTGAATCTCCGGGACACTGAGGCTCGGTATCAGTAAAGTAGAATGCATTTTTCACTTCCTAAAATTAATGTCTGTTGGAATATAGCACTGCCTTCTGGACTTTAGTACTCCTTTAATAAACAGTGATCACTGAATTAACACTGAACAGTTTTAAGACAACTGAAATTGAAAGAGAAAAAACACATTTCTTAGTGTAGGGCGTTTGTTCTGACTATGCTATGTTTTAACAATGATTCGCAGTATATGACACACTTGTCTTCATGCATGCCAGCATCCACAGACAAGGCAACGGCTACAATTTACAGACCCCCTTTAACTGTAGAGAATGCTTCTTAAAACTTCCACCTGTTGATCCGTACTTTCTGAAACTTTGGATAGTGATGACTCAAGTGACTATTTAGTAGGGCTGGAAGTAGCCTAATGGCCTACTGTGGTTGGTGAACTTTAAAGATTGATGTGGATGTTGAGGGGACATGCAATCACCGTTCCGAACGCAATCTCGCTAGAGTTACGGTTACAGACACGTGACCTTATTCTCGTGAGACTTTACCGATACGTGACGTCAGAAATTTATAAATAGTCAGTAATTAATCTAACGATTTTTGTGTACTCTTTGTGTAAGAATGAATTTCAGCATCTCGCCATGATTACTACCGCTACTAAGCTTCATTTCAACACAAATGGTACACAACGATCAAATTTTTAACGACCACAGTCATCAGGATGACCGATGACCAATCACTGCCTAGCGTAATCTCGCGAGAGTTACGGTTGCACACACGTAACCTTATTCACACGAGACTTTACTGATACGTGACGTCAGCAATTGATAAATAGTCAGTAATTAATCAAACGATTTTTGTGTACTCTTTGTGTAAGAATAAATTTCAGCATCTCGCTATGATTACTACCGCTACTAAGCTTCATTTCAACACAAAGGGTACACAAGGATAAAAGTTTTAACGACCACTGTGGCCTTCATCAGGATGATTAATGACCAATCACTTCCGAGCGTAATCTCGCGAGAGTTACAGTTACAGACATGTGACCTTATTCACACGAGACTTGACGGATACGTGACGTCAGCAATTGATCAAACGATTTTTGTGTGCCCTTTGTGTTGGAATAAATTTTAGTATCGCACTTTGCTTACTACCAACACTTCCATGACGTTGTAGCTCTTTAACGAGACACCCAACTTGCAGCAATACGGACCGTTTGAGCCTCACACAACCGTCTCGGTGAAGAAGGGGTATTGCCGGATGGACTCCAGCCTGGAGCCGACGTCTGCCGTACTGGTCGTCTTGGTGGTCATGACTCTGGAGATGGTGGGCCGGGTCACGGTCACCTCGCGGATCAAGTTCTGCTTCTTCTTGTTCGCCTGGGGGCATCCGAGGGACGCCTGGAATCCGCTCCGAAACTTTTCTGAAAAGGTAGGTGGGAGGTTGGGTGACACTAGATACAAATATCTCAATTGTGATGCAATTTGTTCTCAAGTACATTAGCCAATGGGCAACGCGATATGTATACCACAGTAGAGGATCTTGTTCAAATTCTACAAATTCAGTAGTAGCTGGGTAATAAAAGATTAATGCCTCGCTCCGAGGTGTATATGGTGAGATAATCTCTGGTCAGGTGCCATAACCACCGAATAAACTAACGAGTGAGCGTAGCGAACGAGGTCGCACCTGACCAGGTTTTATCTCACCATATACACCGACGATAAGGCAGAGCATTAACGTTATTATCGTATAGCTTATCCAACTGACACGCCCCCAGATCTGCCTGCGATATCTGTTCTACTGGGAACTGAGGTGCTTTGCCGTCCAGTGGCGAAAAATCTCACATTCTATGACATTCTATCACATTATGACAAGACGTCTTTTGCAGAAAAACAGATCGTCTGCGGTGACCACGCGACAATGGAACAGTCCCACTTTTAGTGGGGTGTCAAAAATTATGTTTAGTCTTTTTCTCTTTAAATTTCATTTATGTCTTTTTACTTGTGTTCGTTTTTCAAATAAGTTATTCAAAATAATCTACAATGTGTTTTAATACTATGATACTATACTGAAAGTGTTAGTGTCCTGTCCCCTGTACTGAATGGTGCGGTCCAAAAAGTGGTCTGTTATAGTAATAACCGACCACTTTTGAGGTTACGCCCCGATAACCAATGGTAAATGGAGCCTTCTGATTGGTCGACGTCTTCTGGCTATATGATAATACTATTTAAAAGTGACTCCCGCTCAGCCTACATATTCAGTAGTTGCTGGTTGATACTATTCAAAAGCGACTTACCGCTGAGAAATCCGTAGATAACAGGGTTGATGGCGCTGTTGAAGTAGATGAGCCAATGGGCGACGCCGTAGGCAGCATACATCCCGCCCCGGTCATTGGTCACGTCAAACGATCCAAGCACTCTGGGAACACGGGCAGACAGGGTCGGATACTTTCTTGTACGAAAGACCATACAGACAACTGCGATAAGGCTTCATCGGGACATTTCTCTTCGTTCCACACCAATTTCTCTTCGTTACAAACCAAGTTTTCCCGTTCTACATTCATTTCTCTTCGTTCCATACCCATTTCTCACCGAAGAGAACGAGGAGAAATTTGTGTTATGAAAAATTGATGTGGAACGAAGAGAAATGCGTGTGGAACGGCGAAAAATTGGTGTGGAACGAAGAGAAAAGGGTGTGGAACGGTGAAAAATTGGTGTGGCAGAACGAGGAGAAAAGGGTGTCAAACGGTGAAAAATTGGTGTGGAACTAAGAGAGATGGGTGTGGAACGGTGAAAAAAATGATGTGGAACGAAGAGAAAAGGGTGTGGAACGGTGATTAATTGGTGTGGCAGATCGAGGAGAAAAGGGTGTGGAACGGTGATTAATTGGTGTGGCAGATCGAGGAGAAAAGGGTGTGGAACGAAGAGAAATGTCCCGATAAAGCCTTGTCGCAGTTGCCTCCATGGTCTGTCATATTCTTGGGCAACTTATTGACTATACATGTATTGTTCCAGGCCTCGACATTCCTCTTTTCTCTGCATTCCTGCACTGGTGCAGATACAGAATAGCAACTCTGTCCTTGGTGCTGAAGTTCTTGTAGATTTTTATTATTATGATAATATATTGTCTTCTTCAATAGACTGACCCAGTGAGACTTGTCACATGACTTCTCTGAACTGGATTCCCGACCCAGGCTACGGACTACGGACTAATGAGATGGGATTACGGTTGGAAAATAAACAAGTGCGCCAGAACATGTCAGACGAAGGCAGCAGAGCACTACGACATGCCAGTGTCATCACTAACGTGATGTTGGGCATTAAAGAGAAGAAGAAGAAGAAGAACTGTGACGTTAACACTGGTCGAAAGCTGTAGGTAAGAACAATCTAGTGTTGGAACAAAAGTTTTAACTTTAAAAAACATGTAACTACCAATTAAGATGAACTTTCATGATAAAAATGAAGTGTGTAGTAATATAGCTATAACGAAGTTTCGAGGAAGCAAGTATAAGGAAGATACTTGACTTTTTGAACTGTTTGGCCGATACGTACGTTTAGGAGTTGTTTTTCGTCTACCAGATACCCTTGACCTAGTGTTAACGTCACACTTCAAAGAAGCCACGTGACAAGCCACACTGGGTCAGTCTACTGAGGAAGACCAGAGTGACTGGTCGAAAGCTCTAGGTGAGAGAACTTTTTGTGTTGGATCGAAAGTTTGAACTCTAAACATAGGGAAGTTACCTTTTCATGAAGTTCATGACCATAGATGGCGCCCAGCAGACCGCAAAGATGATAACCACGGCGATCAACATCCGGGCAACCTTTCTTCGAGCGAAGATGGTCTCTCCTGACCTTTGACCGATGGTGTCCCTGGAGGGGCTCGCGCTGCGAGGCTGTTCCTCCGCGGGGGACACGGTGTGTGAGCGCGGACTGGGCGGGCACTCGTCTGCCGGGGACACGGTGTAGGGCCGGAAATCGGTGCTGAAGTCCGCGCCTGGGTGAGTGGGAAAGAATTTAACAAATTTAAGTTAAAGTTAGGAGTCATTCAAAGGCATCCAATGCAATCTCTATATTTACATAGTGGCATTGTACAACATCTATCAAACTAGAAACTTTCAAGGTAACATTTTCAAAGCAAATGTATAATGTTTACCTTCGCATATGGTCTGCACTGTTAATTGTTGCACAGAATTATATATATAGGGCCACAGGAGTCTAAATCCCTTCTGTGATAAAATTGCAACATGATGTAACCTGATACCGGTTACCATGGTGACAAACGTCTGGTTCAGGTCATTGATCTTATTTGTTTCGAACGGAAGAAGAAACAGAGCAAAAACAATATGTTTTCCAATGGTAAACGACATGATGGTGGAACTCACTGTTTTTCAGCCGTAGGCTCCGCCGGAACTGTCCCACGAGACTACCGCGACGTTTCCCGACGTCATTTCCGGTCACCTTGAGGGCGACTGTCACTAATGGAGGACAAGAACGTTACATGTATAAAAATGGGTTTGACAAAATACTTACGTGCGTGGTAACAGTCTGTTCTCTGTGAGCCTGGGTGCCAGACTGCTTCCAGGGCCTACTCTGTTAGGCTATGATCCACAGGCACGCTATACGCCTATATTGGCCTGGCATCCAGGCTAGCCTTCTATGCATACTACATACAGCAATCTCCTATCACTATTTAATAGGGGTATTTATAAATATGACGTTCAGGTGAATTTAACGGAGCAACTTTCAGAAATGTGAAATGATGTGACCACAGATGAAAACATGGGGAAAGGAGAATTTTGGGGGAAATGTGAATAGTGAATTGGGACGCTGAAAAGACCCACTGGACATCCGGACGCTAGACGTGGCCATTTCGACATATCTATGTATGTGTAAGTCCCTGCCTTATTTGCTTACTGTCCATTTAATTAAAGACGGCATAGGAGAACTGACTCTGGGACCATCATATATATATATAAGGCCCATTTTGTTGTTTAAAAACTCATCCCGCTCCAGTGTTCAGCGTAATTCTGGACTGTCTACACTATTTCACATGTTCTATAAATTTGACAATTATGCTCTTCCAATTCTAATGTAGTCACATTATGATACATTACTTTCAGTTTTTCCATCCACTCGGGATAAATGTTATATTTATACACCCGTTAGTTCAAGTCACTACATTTACTATTTGTTGCTATGTATGCTTGAAGAATGTTTTAATGTTAATCCTGAATCTACCCGAGGCTAAGTAATTTTGAAGTAATTTTAATTTGTTCAGGGCTAATCAACGTCAGTAGACAGCTTGACGCCTCTTTAAGTATTAACTAGATTGATGGCACGCCTGAAGTGGTACAGATAGACGACACAATCTGTATTTTTATTCCTACACTTAGGGAAACGTATTAAAAATACGTAAGTACACGTAATTAATTTAGCTTTAGCTAATTGTCAACCCAGGATGCTTGGATTTTGTTTCTTTGTTCTATTAGGATTAGTTGGACAAATGTTTCAGACTAGTTTTCGTGCACTCCGCAGGGATGATGATGTAAATCTACTGTGTGGTTTTTAGTGAACCACCAACTTGATGATAGATGGCAGCTTTGGCTTTAGCTTGTAACGGTGTGTGAAGTAGAAAGTGCTTGACTTATCCCCCCCCCCAAGAAAACGAACATATTCAACTGAAATATTTAACACATTGATGATCAAAAATCTCTGTGGCAAGCTAGGTTGTGTAATTTTCAACTCCTGCTTGCTTTACATGATGGTTATCGACGTTGAAGAGTCTCCAAACAGATGTAAAGTCGATAAAAGGAAAACGCCACCAAAAAGACGTATGATCACCAAATTACCGACGAAAACCGTGGACAATCCGGGTTACGTACTGCGCCTGCGAGAAACCCAGCTTTTTACGGTTTTCGTTGGATATTTCTTCGACCTTGCATCAAAATTTTGCCCGTTGCAGACAATATCTTTTCAGATACAACATTTGAAAACTACAGACGGGATGTCATCATGAAAAGGCGAATAAACGTTCTGCCGAAGTGCCATGCGCAAATTAAAGCGCAATACATTGCGCGTTCTGCGCAGGGGCTCTGCCGACGTGCTGTACTTGTACATGTTCGCAGATCACGCCAACTCACGCGAGATTTGGTTGCTCCATAGCTTCCAGACGATCATGGTGTAGGCGATGGAGATGATACAGAGCGGGACGATGTAGATCAGTCCGAGGATGGCCGAGTGGTAGATCTGACCGTAGAACGTGTTCTCTGGAAGGAAAAAATGACACAAAATTGTCATGGCTCACAGACCAATACAACATCCTGCAAGTAAAGTGTTTCGAAGGAAAATTGATTGTCTTCTGTACTTAGTCATCTGGTTTACGGTGTTGATGTTAATTCCTTAGTTAGTTCTGTTCTGGTTAATGACAGGTTAAAACATAACTTCCGAATCTTTCAAATTTAGGCCATAGTTAGTTGGTGGTTGGCTCTTGTTCGGGGGTAGGTACAAATTTGACTCAACTTTAACCCCAAGTTCAATTCGATTCGTATAGAACTGTTAACAGTAGGCGTTGCCTACATCTGGTCAGAATGCTCCCGAACTTCAGCCAACCTTGGTCGCAAAATGTGTGACAGGGGCTGAAGAAACAATGCATACCACATGTACAATCATTGTATCATTTTTGCTTGAGTGCGCCACCACTACGTATTCTTCTGGTTAAATGTTGAAATGATAATTTTAAAAAGTCTATGAAAGGCTTTACCCACCAGGCCAATGTTCGTCACACATGACGTAGAGGTTGGTCAGGTCACTGGGGAACGTGCCGGTTGTCTTGGAGACGAGCAGTAAGGGGATGGTGACCAGGAATGACGTCACCCAGATGCAGATGATGATGTTCCGCGCACGCGCAGGGGTGCTCTTGAACTTCAGCGGGTGGACGATGGCGTACCAGCGCTCTACTGCGACTGCGCACAGGGTCAGGACAGAGACCGAAACGGACACCATCTGTGGTGGGAGAGATTAAATTTTAGATTATTTGCTATTGTTATTTTTTACTTATCTATTTATTTCTAAATGCCTTTAAAAAGACATCCAATGCGCCTCGGTCTCCCTCTAGGGCGGGACCAGGTGGGGGGAGGCGGTTCTCTTAGAAGAGAACCTAGTTCCAGGGGTGGTTCCGCCCTAGCAATGTGGCCGAAGAGGCGGAGACGGGCAGACTGGGAGCTGGTTAGTTCTTTCTCTCAGGTCGTCGTTGGAGACGTGATCAAACCACCTGATTCCCAGGAGCGCCGCCTGGACGTCTTCGACTCCAAATGCCAGCGGAGAATCCTGGGAATCAGGTGGTTTGATCACGTCTCCAACGACGACCTGAGAGAAAGAACTAACCAGCCCCAAGTCTGCCCGTCTCCGCCTCTTCGGCCACATTGCCAGGGCGGAACCAACTCGTTTGGTGTGAGAGAACCGTGCTAGACCAAACACTGTTGAGGCTTGACATTGCGGAGGCGGCTCGTCCTATGCGAAGCTGGATGTCGGAGTCGCTCTTGAGGTCATGGTACCTCCGAGGTAGCAGAACCTGTCTACCGCCTCAACGGGGTAAGAGTTGACTACCAGTCCTGCAGGGGGGGTGATGTAGTCACTGAGGCTCTGGACTTTAGTCTTGTCCCAGCTGATCATCAGTCCCAATGGTTGTGTTTCCACGTCCATGGCCTGCAGGGCAAGCTGGAGTACTTCCAAGACTTCTTGTCACATCATCTGCGTAGTCGAGATAAGTGACAGTCACGCCGCCATAACTAGCACCGCACTCACACCGGTCCATTGCTCCCGCCATGACGAAGTCGATTGCCGTGTGTTATTTCGGAGATGATAATTAGAACTAGAAATGAAACATTTGCAAAGCAAATGCATAATATTTACCTTCGCATATGGTCTACTGTTAATTTTTACTCAAACACATTATATGGTGACAGGAGTCCAAATCCCTCCTGCTATAAAATTGCAACATGATGTAACCCAACACTCCATGGTTTACCATGGTGACAGACGTCTGGTCCAGGTCATTGACCTTATTTGACAGACGTCTGGTTCAAGTCATTGACCTTAATTTGTTGGGAGAGGAAGAAGACGAAGAAGAAGAAACAGAGCAAAAACAATATGTTTTCCTTCCTATTTACTCCGTGACTAATGCATGTACCCGCAACCGACCGTAAAATGTTCATACTTAGCGAGCTGACAGATCCGTTGAAATATGCGCCGCCACTGTGAGATATACCGATGTGTGGGAGACAAAAGCCGGAAGATGTAGTCACACTGTGATCTTGGGGTTATGTGAGGTGAGAAAAGTTTTCACCTGAGCGTCTCGTGTCATTCACCCTTTTTCATTCCCAGGATGCATAGCGCCAGGAGTCAAAATTCCCAGGATGCATAGCGCAAGGGGTAAATATGACAGAATACGACATGCATGTACTGTTGACGTTTAGTACACAGCTTCCTTTCTGTGTGTTTATTGTGTGGACCATTTTGTGTTGCAAATTCAATGACACCAGGAAAACCTGAGTATGAAATTCCTGTGTTTTTCTAGTAAACACGTAACAGTTTATTTGTAACGCTACTCTCTACGGTGGTAACTGTATACAGTCTAGATATTAAGGGAAAGCCCTCTTTATTTCAGATTTTGTTATCGGCGAATGTCAAAACACCACAGGAACACAAAATTCCGACTTCTGGCGCTATGCAACCTGGGAACTTTTACCCCCCCCCCTCGCTATGCATCCTGGGAATGGAAGAACGGTGAACTACAAGTATCAGATCAACACCTGTCACTGTACTGGTCACGGGTAACCTTCGGAATGGATTCTCCCGTCACGATCGTTAATGCCGGTTGACCTTTAACATTTCAATCCATGAGGATGTACCCGGAAGAGGGCGAGGACCGGAACGCTTCAATTAAAGGAAGGCCTATGGACAGTATTCATCTTTTTATAGTCGCAGGGACACAATGCCTTGAATATTTCTCATCTGGAACGTTCAAAGTCGATGGCAACTAACATGTGGTTGGTTTTTCTTCAGTTTCACATGGTCGGCTTTCCAGTCTCGTCGTTAGAACCTTAGGACTACGCGTTCCAACATTTGAGCCACAATGGCCTTTTATCTTTTAAGTTTTATTTCTGTTGTCACAATGCAGGCCTGTCTGTAAAGTTAAAATTCTATCATGCAAAAATCATAGTAGGGTACCGGGTACAGGAGAGAGCTGAAGATATGGTAATTAGAAAAAAGCATACATGGTGTCTCTCAGAAGCAAAATGAATTCGGAGATCTCAGACATCTATGAAATATTTAGATCCTGTGTGATGGTGACTGTGTCTTCTTCTCATTAACCATGGTGTCTATACGTCTTATTTTTATCGTACAAGGGAAACAACTCCAGCTGTCAAGGAGGTCATGTAACAAAAAGCATATGTGAAAATAGTGAGCGCTACCAGATGTAGATGTGATTAATGCCTCTCTCCCTCTTGGACAGACTGAATCCAACCATGTCCATTACAACTTGTCTTAAGGGCCATGCAGAGACACAGACACACACACGGACACAGACACATACACAGACATACCAAAAACTAGAATTCCGAGACCTTATACCTCCATGAAATATGATCTTGATATGTAAATGTAAATTTCTTCTTTAATTGTTCAAATGACCTCTGCATTAACATGATATATGCATCGTGATGTATGTTAACTTTTGATTAACTTACAGATGTCCCAAGTATGACATTCTCATCATTCACCATTACGAAATCATAGAATTTTCACATTAATTATGCAAATTAGGTCATCATTTGCATAATTAGTATCTGTTGAAGTTCCGCCTGCCATAGGTTACATAGTATAATGTAAAACACTGTAATTGTAGAATTTCCTCATTAATTATGCAAATAAAGTCCTCATTTGCATAATTTACATTTAATTATGTACATCTCTCTCTCAGCTACCTACACACCAAAAATAATGAAAATATGTTGTTCCTGTCTGGACTTATTGGCTTTTAAACATTTCGCCAGAAAGTGCCCTGCAGTTCCAGAACAAGCCGCTAGGGGGCCCAAACTTATATGACTTCTTTCCAAGCACGAGAGCTACCTTCCATCAAAATTTCATGACCCTAGCATGTCCAGATCGCGAGATATCAAAACCGGAAGTTGCGCTGCAGTACCAAGGGAAGCCACTAGGGGGACAAAAATCTCATCATTTCCAGTTTTCGTCACACCCTACCAACACACCAAGTATGAAACCAATCCATCCAGGCGTTCTTGAGTTATCTTGTTGACCAACAGACAGACGGACGGACGGACGGACGGACGGACAGATAAACGCAACTGAAAATATAACCTCCATGACACATTTCATGGAGGTAACAATACTTCCATACAAGACCCATGTATGTACTTGCCTGCATGTACGAGAAAACCTTGCACATGGTCTCTCCGAAGAACCATGTCTCCATGATGTCCACCACCAGGGTGGGCGGCAGACAGATGATGGTGACCAGCAGGTCCCCTGCCGACAGGTTCACGATGAAATAGTTCGTCACCGTCCGCATGTGGCTGTTCCTGGCCACAACCACACACACTGTGTGGGGAAGAAGAAGGAAACACTAGAAAGGTAACATCTTCATACCAAATGCATAATATTTACCTTCATATGGTCTAGCACAACAAACTACTGCTCTTTTTATTCTTACACAAACACATTCATATACTAATATATGGTGAGTAGCCCTTCCAGCTCTGTCTTGCTACATAATGTAACTCAGTGCCTCATGGTGTCTGCTGCTGCACTAGTTACCATGTTGACAGTCATTTTGTTCAGGTCATTGACCTTATTGTAATAGGAGAAGAGGAATAATAATAAGAAAGAGAACAATATGTTTCCTTCTGCGAAGGTAAACCCAATAATTTTGCATTTCGATACACATTGTAGGTGGTCATAACTGTAGCATTACAACTTTAGTCTTGGAAAAAAGTCTCCGGTGCATTGCTGCACGGCCCGGTGTGTTGAGAGCACTAAACTAACATTTAACCTTGCCCCCGACCTACTCCTAACCATTTTTGGGCGAAGTTCGGCTAATGCTTGAGGCCATGTTCGTGAATCTGTGACATGGGCTTATAAGGAAAGATATCCAAAGTGTTTGGCAGGGAGGACTAAACATAACGTTCGCAGTAACTACTGAAGGCTGTTATCTCGTACGGTACCTGGCAGCAGCAGGCTATTACACCAAACAACTGCTGAGAAACTGCTGCTGCGATACAGTCATAACCAACTATCGCAGAATGCGACATTCGTAAATTTATCAGCACAAACGGAGTGCATGCAGGCATTTTATTGTTTCCCAGAAACGTTACCAGGATTATGACTTGTTTTTTACACCTCTCTATGCGTCAGAAGAAGCTGTGTGGAACACTAAAACGATCTCTTCCTCGGTAGTTTCTTCTCCTGAGAGCCCTGCTATACTAGTTGTCATTCCGTACATTACGTACGCGGTATATTTATCGACCGGCTTCTTGTCGAAGAGTGGGAAGTAATTAGTGCACTTATGAGAAAGTTACGATTCCGGCTACGTTCAGCCGACCTGAGCTAGTAGCTCTCCTTTTCAAGGTGACTGGGAAAGTGAGCAGGAAGTGTGACGGTCCTGCCACTGTTACTGATCCCGTCTCACCTTTATTACCACATTTTATTGTAATGTGAATGAATGAATGAATGATTGAATGAATGAACTTTATTGCTCTTGAAATTAATACTGCAAACTACTATTGAATACAATATATGAGTTACAATATGGTCATGTATTGATGGCCCGGTCTCGCATATGGAATAGGGTATACAGAAATTGACCTATGTAGG